CACTGCCCACTGCAGCCTGTGCTGTAGGTTCATGAAGAGAACCACAGAAATGCCCATGAACTGGGAATTCTTTCATGCCTGGCTTTGTCCAAGTGTCTGTATTGGAAGATTTTTTTCCCCCTGAAATGGTGTATTTCCTGCAAACTTGCAGCTGGCAGTGGCTTCAGTCATGGTCAGTTAGGAGGTATCTGCTGAGCTTGTGAGAGGGACAGGAGGGACAAACACATCCTTAAAAATAACTGTCTCCTCCATCAACACTTCTCCCCCAGACTGGAAGTCTGACATCCATCCGGCAGCGCCTCTGCTCCGGGGCTCCCTGTCCTTCCTCGCAGGACGGGGACCTTCCATTGTCCCAGCGCTGGTGACAACGAGGGCGAGATGTCACCTCCCTAATGAGACCTGACAAATGGGCAACTGGGCTCTGCTCGGGGCCTCCAGTGGTTCATCTCCATAGCGCCGTGTCGGGGCAAAGGGCAGGAAGGAGTAATCCCGGGATGGGGATGCCTTTCCGACTGAAAGGTGCTGGGGAAGCTGGAGAGATGGAGTTTGAACCAGGATTTCTGTGTCAGCGCCCAGGACCTTTCCCAAACAGACTGTATGATCTAAATGCCATGTGATGTGGCCCCAAACTGCAGCCCGGTGGTGGATTCAGAGCAGGTTCCATTAGGCTGGGAAAGGAGCCTGGAAAGGAACCGGGTTAATCCAGAAGGAAAAAATCTGTACCCGTGCCCCGGAGAGGTTCTGCCAGCAGAGGTGTAGCCCTGGGGTAGCTGATCCAGCACCAATAACTCCATGAAAAACTAGTTTTTTCTGTGAAGTTTGGCACTTTCGGTGAAAGTCATGAATGAGAAGGAGCAGAAGAAAAAGTCTTTGTGCTTTTGGTGAGGTTTCTTAGGGCTTTGGGCACCCCCAAAACTCTCCCTGAGCACTCCCAAAGCTCTCCCAGGTACCCCAAAACACACCCAGATACCCACAAAACCTCCCTGGGGACCCCCCAAACCCTCCCAGGTGCCCCAAAACCTCCCTGGTCACCCCTAAAACACACCCAGATACCCCCAAAACCCTCCTAGAGGCTTCCTGAGGAGAATCCAACATTGCAGGAAAAATATCATTTAGGATCATTTTGGGAACTAAATCTATTTTTTTTGGGGTCAAATGTCCGCAGGTTTTAAGATAGTGCATCCATATATATCTCTCTATATACATTTATCTATATATATTATATTATATAGTCCGTTAAAAGCAATTAGATTTTTATTTTTATGCATGGGTGTAAAAAAAACCAGGGAGGATGAGTGTGCTGAACAGTAATTATTGAATATTTTTTTTATATTTTATAGTTACTTTTATTGAAAACATTCCTGCTGTTCCACTCTCTGTGAAATGTCGTTATCACCTTAAGCATCAATGAATTTTCTTGGGTGGATGTCACATATTTATACCTGTGTTTTGCCCCTCATGAAAGAGAGAACTGTGTGAACCCAAGTGTTTATGCTCAAAATATTTATGAAATATTGAGTATTTGGGTTTCTGACAGTAGTTAATGCAGAAATACCTATTTATTTTTATACTACCTGTGTGTGTGGAATGAGCAGGGGGGATGTGCCCTCTGTGGCAGGTGTTTTGTCACTAAAGACTTTCTACTTCACCAAGTGCCATAATTCAAAATATTGGCTCTGCTGGCCTTGCCCTGGATCATTTTGTAATCCACAGAGTTTTTAACTTGAATTCTCTGCCTGCAATTAAATGTTCCAGACATACAAAATAGAGATGGGAAGTGAATTCTCCGTACTCATTCACGGTTCTTTCTCATTAGAAGCGGTGTCGGCAATTAAGCTCTTTGCAATTACGAGAGGCATGATGTGAGCATTTTTAGAGAGCAGCTGGAGGATTTCTGCCACCCTTTCAGGCAGGACTAACAGCCACTCGTCCTCTGAATCTGATGAGCAGGCAAGTGCTCTCAGGGTTTGGAGACGGGCTGAATCAGCAATCGCTGCCACAAAAGGGAGCGTGTGCGAGAGAGGGAGAACCGGTGTCCTCCACTGGAAGGCTTTGATCAGCACTGCAAAGACAAAAGCTTTTTGTGGTTGGGATGAGCAAACTCAACAAATTCTTGTCTTGTTGCACTTGGGAGGAATTCAGGCCGTTGTTTTAACCTTGTTATGTTCGAACTTAAAATATTGGTTAAAATATTACGGTTGGACGCGATGATGTTGGAGGTCTTTTCCAACCTTAATGATTCTGTGGCTCTGTTTGTCCTTTATGTTGAAACCATATGTTAATCACTGGTTGCTGATTAGCACTGAGCTGAGCTCCTCTCTTTGGGATGTGAATCCCAATTTTTGGGGGCTATAGCTCAGGGTTGCGGCTGCGACCACACGAACCCACGGTTTCACTGCAAACTGCTGATGTCTGGAAAGGAATAGTGGGGCTTGTAAAATCTGCCTTGAGTTGTTTGGGATAAAAAAATAATCCCAAAATCCCTCTCCCCTCCAAACCTTTGTTATCTTAAGGGTATGAATACTGAGCAAATTCCTTGTGTTGGGTTGAGTGGCTCTGGTTGAGCTACGAGCAGAGAGGCTGATTTGTGTGTGATGATGGAGGAACTGGGCTCAGGACCCAAAAACATCTTGTTTCCACACTGAGCATCAATGTGACTTGTGTTATGCACAGATCCATGTTCTGGAAGGGAAATCTCCTGGAGTGTAACATGTTTACCCGGCGCTGCTGCTTGTACAGCTGATGGCTCCTGTTGTCCTTAGCTCAAGAGCATCAGGGTGATGTCAGCATTTGGCCAGCTCAGCTCCAGGTCCATTTGGATCCATGAGGAACTCAAAAATTCAGGACTATTCAGTCCCAAATCCATGCACATACCTCTCTCACCCAGGTGGGCTCCAAACAGATTTGCTGTGAGCTTTCCCTCCAGACCCCACGTGGAGCTGCTGGACCCATTCCTTTCATCTTCCACAGGGCTGGGAGAGGTTTGTTTTACTTCCTGTCTGCTTCCAATCAGACTTTCATTTTCCCCTGCCTGATAGGCATCTGTGGAGTAAACCCAGGGAAAACTGGCATTTCCTTCTCAGAAGGTTAAAACAACAACATTTAATGCACCACGTTGTGTGTTATCTGTTCTCCTCACTATTTTTATGGATTTCACTGTGTTTTAATAAAAGAGCTGTTTGCACACCAGAGCAAGGACAATGACAACCACCCCCCCTCGATGGCCTTTGTGCTGCTGGGCCTGTGTGGTCTCTGCTGTGAGACAAACATTTGGAGGCAGAGGTGGAAGGTCCCCACCCCCGGCACATCTTTCCTGAAAAACAACCAACACAAAATATTTGTTAAAGAACAGTTAGCACACATTCAAAGGTGCCTGGGAAATATCTGGGTATTGCAGATCTCTTGGTCAATCTGGGTGGGAGAAGAAAAATCCCAACCCTGTGTGTCGTGGATGGATTCCAAGGGAAACCAGTGGCTCCTGCCTGGCTCGGCAGCTACGTCCTCCTGGGATTTTCCTGTCCCGTTTGGTTTTTGAGGCACTGTCATAATTTGTAGGGACTTGTAATAATATGAGCCACATATTTAATGATGTATTAGCATTGTCTGCTCCTGGATGGCTCCCCACAACTTGGATGCAGGGATTGGGATGCTCCTGAAAGCTGTTTTGGGGGTGGTTTCACATCAGTTCCCATCAGTCAGGAACATGGGAAAAAATATGTTGCGTTGTGGGTCAACGGTGTCACAGAGGGAATAGGACCCTTTGGAGCACGGATGAGGAGAAAGCACTTTGTGTTATGAACAGCAACCAGGTGAAGGCAGAGCCCACCTGCAGCAGCTGGAGCTCCTCAGCTTCCCTGAGATATGTGGGAAGTGATGTGGAGCTCCTGGTTTGTACACTGGTGGAGGGTGTGAGCCTGGGCTGGGGCTGGAGTTGTGGGGTGGAGTTGGGTTGGAGAGTGGCTGGGGGAGACCCACCACTGCTCTCCCAGATATCCCAATGGATCTCCACCTACTGTTTCCTTTCTTCCTGGTCTAATCCTGCAGTTTTCCATTACTCTCTAACAGCTGTTAAATCCTGTCACAACACAGTCTCTCATGACTTTATCAACATCCTACTGAGGCTTTTGCCAACCAGTCTCTGACTGTTTAAGTTCTAAACAGTGACAAAGTCGACCACCTTTGTCCTTGGCTCCTGTTTGCAGCTCTCCAGCCAGGAGAGGGTTTTTCCACGTCCTTTTCCCAGGCAGTGCCAGGGATGTCTATGCCAAATTATTTTTTACAAATTTACAACTTGTTCATGTAACTTAATTAATTTTATTTCTTTATTTTAATTTAATTCCTTTAATTAATTTAAATGAATTTATTATGATTTATGAACACCACTGCCTGACCCATGGGAGGGCGGTGGAAGGCTCAGGGGAGCATCCAAAGGAGGGCAATGAGGGTGGGGAAGGACCTTGATTTGAAGCCATGTGAGGACTCTGAGGGCATTTGGTGTGTTCAGCTGGAGACCTCAGTGCAGTTCCAGCTGCCTGGGCAGGGGCAGAGGAGGGGCAGGGACTGAGATCTGCTCTCTGTGAGCAGGGACAACAGCCAGGGAATGGCTGGAGCTGTGTCAGGGCAGGGTCAGGTTGGATCTCAGGACAAGGTTCTTCCCCCAGAGGGTGGTTGGCACTGCCCAGGCTCCCCAGGGCAGTGGGCACAGCCCCAAGGCTGCCAGAGCTCCAGGAGGGTTTGGATGATCCCCTGGGGCACAGGGTGGGACTCTTGGGTCTGTCCTGTGCAGGGCTGAGGGTTGGACTGGATGATCCTTGAGGGTCCCTTCCAGCTCAGCACATTCTGGGATTCCGTGACCGTGTGGCCGTGCCTTTGCCGAGGTCACGTTGCCGGGGCTGAGGTGGTGGCCCTGCTCCTGGTGGCTCTGCTGTGCTCACCCCTGCTCTCTGCTCTTGCCCAGGGCAGGTGTTTCGGCCGCCGCATGAGCACGTCCTCGCCGGGCCATGGCCCCGCCGCCCGCGCCGGCCTGGCTGCTGCTGCTCGGCCTGCTCAGCGCCCACGGCCGCGACTTCACCCGCAAGGACATCGTCTACCTCCACCCCTCCAGTAAGTCACCTCGGAGGGAAAACGAGGACAGGGACAAGGCCAAAGACATGTCAGGGCAGAGCTGAGAGCGGAGCAAAGGTTAAAGGCATGTCCCCACACTCATGGAGCCAAGTTGGTGTGGAAGAAGAACCAAGTTCTCTGGACCCACCTCAAGGTTTTTCCTTCTGAATTAACCCAGCAACCTGGGCTAGTGGAAGGTGTCCCTGCCCATGGCAGGGGCTGGAACAAAATGATCCCTTATTTCCCTTCCAACCCAAACCATTCTATGATTCTACGTAAAACCAGACCAGGGTTTATAGGACAGGTGGGGGTCACAGGCAGCTGCTGGGCATGGCAGGAGCCTTTAGTTCACTATTTTCTGTCCCTCAGTAATCTCCCTGGCCAGGAGACCATGGCCACATGGACTCTGAGCACATGGATAGCTGAGAGCAAGGGCCAAACACCACCATTAGCAGCTGTGGCACCAGCAGCTCCTGGCTTGATCTCAGCGACTCCTGGAGCAATGCTGTAGCAGAGCTGGACATCTTTAGCTCTTCCCTGGACTCTCACTAGTCTATTCACTTTATCAGACACAAACTCAGTGAATTCCATGAGAAGAGGGTGCTTCTGGAGCTGTTCCTGCCATCTCTTCCCAGAGAAAACTCACCACTTCCTGCATTTGGCTGGAAAATTTATATTCTGCACAAGCAGGATGAAACTCTAGTTTTACACCATAACCACAACCAGCAGTCCAGAGTGACAGGGATAAATTTAGTCTGTGCTGATGTGTTTTCCCACCCCAAGCTGTTCCTTGAGGGCAGCACCAGCCCCACCAGAGATGCTCCCAGGTGACTCTGGCCCAGAGCTGAGGGAGAAGGGAAAGAGAGGAAGAGGAGGGAGGGTTAAGATGTGATCCATGGGGCTGTGAAGGTTCAGTTTACTTCACCCCATGAAGATAAACATGACCTGTTCACCGTTTGGCTTCTGAGAAGGTGGCAGCACCTTGGAGAAGCGTTGGAGGTGCTCCAGAAGTGCTGCCAGGAGAGCACTTAAGGAATTATGCTCTTTGTTTGGCAAGAGAAATTAGAACAGAGGCTGCTGGTGAAAGCTGGAGGTTCAGCACAGTGATTTTTCTTCCTTTTGGGAACATCAGCCTTCAACAGGAGCAGCTCTTTTCCTCGGTGGGAAATTTTCCAGAGTATTTTAATCCATCTGATATTTTGTTATCAGCACCCATAAAGCAGCAGTGTTGGATGTGAGCTCTGATTCCAGGGGAATAAGTGTTCCTTGCTCACATTAACTCCCTTTGAAGTCAGTCTGCTGGGTAAAAACACATCTGAAACGAGTCCATATGTACCTAAAAGTGCCTCTGCCCTGCTATAGGTGACGGGGTTTTCCAAATCAGGCCCGACCCGCCGAAGCTCACAGGTGTGTATTTGTAGAAAACCAGATCTGAAGAGAACAAACGTTGCTGTGTGCCCGTGAAAAGCACCATGGAAGCAGATTACCAGGCTCACTTTAACTCCATGTTATCCATTCCTTCCAGCCACGCCGTATCCTTGGGGATTTAAGTGTTTCACCTGCGAAAGGGCCGCGGATAATTACGAGTGCAACCGCTGGGCTCCGGATGTCTACTGTCCCAGAGGTAACGTTAATTAGTGTTTAATTAAACCCACCTTCCCACTGCTGCTCCCTGTTCCTGCCACAGGCCACGCTGAGCCCCCGGTATTCCCAGATCTGGTGGTTCTGCTCCTTTTGCCTGTGAAGTCTCCCCACTAAAGGAAGATGTGTAAGCGATAGGAGTAATCCTTTAAGCTTTTCTGTCTCTGTGCTGGATGAAGTTTTGGACTTTCATCTCTTCCCTGCACTCCTCTGGTTCAGCTGGGGATTAAATCAGGGGGATGTTTATTTTGTAGAGTCGTGGAATTGTTGAATGGTTTGGGTTCAAAGGGACTTAAAGCCCATCTTGTTCCAATCAGGGACACTTTCCACTGGACCAGGTTGCTCCAAGCCCTGTCCAGCCTGGTCTTGGACACTTCCAGGGATCCAGGGGCAGCCATAGCTTCTCTGGGCAACCTGGGCCAGGGCCTGCCTACCCTCACAGGGGTGTATTTTTAAAGGTGATGTTTCATTTACTGGGAAATACAGGCCTGGTTCTGCCTTTGTTCACTTCCCTCCCCTTGGGCACGAGCCCACGCTCAGGGCAGCTGAGGCTGGAATTTTGGTATTTTCAGTGGTTTGATCTCATAACTCCCCTTGGAGTCTGAATTTTGGAACAACTCAGGAAAACCTTTGGAATATAGGCACTCAAATATCATATCCAGGCACTGGTGAGATCCCCAGACCTCCCCTTCCCTTCCTACTCTTTTGAGACACTCCCAAGACATTAAGATTATCCAACCTATGATGCCCCTTTAGTTGGGTTGGGTCTGTTTTGGGACAAGTGCCCTCAGAAAATATTTACTTTGGAAGGAGGGAGGCCCTGACCTGCCCTGTGTGGGGACACAGATATGTTTGCAGCACGTTATCTGTCCCAGAATTGGTTTCCTTTCAGCTGAAATCAGCACAGCAACAACAACAATAAAAGAGCTCAGGCTGCCTGGCATGGGATGAGACAAATATTCCCAGACACTCCCTGTTTTGACAGGAGAAGGGGGTATTTAGGTGGCTGTGTGCAAGGAGAAAAGGGTGACTTGCAGGGTCTGCCTTTAGAAACAAGCAGCAGGAATGACCTTAGCAAACCCAGTTCTGATCTGGAAAGTGAAATCAGTGACAAATGGTGGTTTAAGGGAGAGGAAAACTGTGCTTTGGTGTGTCCAGAGCATCCCCATTACTTAGAAGCATCAACTTTCACGCTGCAGTGTTTGATTTTAATTGCTCTAAATTTCTCATGTTATTTTTGGTAAAAGTTTTGGATCCACGGTCTTCACAAGCTCAGCCTGGAGTTCCTCCTCCATCCCTCTGGGCAGGAGGGCTTGATGTTCCCCTCCTTTACTTTCTTCTGGGCTCTCCCAGTGTTCTCTGGCTCAATCCTTACACTTGGAGTGCCTGGAGAAGAGAGTAAAAGTTAATTTTCATTGGAATGAGTGGATTTTATGGCTTACTGTGGATTTGTGTGTAGCCTTGCAGGAAGGTGACAGCCTCTCCTGTGCCTGGTGTTCTGTGCCAGGAAAATCTGTATCTCCAAGATGAGTGCACAATATTTTCTAGAGGAAAGGAAGGAAGAAAGAATGAAACAGCCTTAAAAGAGTTGTTGAGAGAGGGTGTTGGAAGTTTTATTTGTTCCATCTGGGACTGGTCAGGGGGAAACTCCGCTGCCAGAGCAGGGATGAGAAAGCTCAGAATTGCTGGGAATGGCACTTCCAGGCAAAGTCCTGGGAGGAGCTCACAGCTGGGGCACAGAGGGTGCTCTCCTTGGGGTAAAACCGTGAGTTTTAGGGCAGGAGAGGCTGGAAAACACATCAAAAGCCCTGGGAATGAAGGCAAACAGCACACGGAGAGACTCCATCCCCCGGTGATAAGTTAAGTCTGTTCTGTGATATCACACTTGAGTCAAGAGCAGGTCAGAGATATGACAGATATCTGGGGGGTTTTATTGCCTAAAGAATGACATGTTCAGTCCACAAGCTCGCTGGGATGTTGCTGAATGCCTAAAACACGAGAGGAATGCAGGGTTTGCCCACTGGGAACCAGGGCTGGGCAGGAATGGGGGCTTTAAATGCACCACGCTCCTCCTTTTTACCCCTGTGGAAACAACAGTTTTATTCACAGTTAGATGGATTAATTAAAGAAATGTATAATTTAGAGGATAAATATATAATGATGTGTTTTTTTGTGTTGAAAATCCAGTGTTTTCAGCTTGGAGTGCTTAGAAGAAGGGGAGCAGCACCTTCAGCTTCTCTTTAATGACTAAAGCAAGAAATAAATCTGAATTCCTAATGCTTGGGAATGACCACAGCATTTGTCAGTCACTCTGCTGGGAATTTTGGGTGTGGTTTACAGATGTCACTGGAGAAATGGCTTAAAAAAGGAGGAGGAAGAGGATGGTCCCTGTTGGGGACAAGCAGAAGGTGCAGTGGGAATACCAGGAATACCAGCCCATGCCATGGTGCTTTTTCCAAAACCTGGAAAAACTGAGAAATACTTAAATCCTCCTGAGTGTTCTATAGGTATTCTGGCATTATTTTATGTATGATAAAAGTGAAGGACAGAGAAGGTGAAGGATCTTCTCCAGGTTGTGCAGGAGCACAAGGACAACTTGCCCAGATTTTTAGGATATAGGGAAAAGTGTCTCCACTGTGGCAAACCCTAATTCCACAGAACTAATGATGCTGCATGAAACCAGGAAAAAAAATATATAAAAAATATATTATCTAAAAGTATCTATTTTATGTTGTACATTGTATATATTTATATATTAAATCTTTCCACCTAAATGAAAATAAGCTTCAGACCTAAACAGGTATTGGGAATATTTTTTTTTAAAGGCTTCTTTCCTATTTCTTCCTATTTGCAGCCTATCAGAAAACTGGAATTTGACAGATAAACACATTTTTTCTGTTTTTTTGCAGGTACAAGGTACTGCTTTAGCCAACATATGATGAAAGCCACTGGGGAGAGTGTGTCTGTCACCAAACGCTGTGTGCCACTGGAGGACTGTCTGTCCACAGGATGCACGTATATAAAGCATGAAGAGTACAAGGTATGGCAGAAAAAACTGCTTTTTTATTCCATCTAATAACTGGGAATTGGGGTCTGACAGAAGCCTGACTGGTTCCATGGCCAAGGGCATCCTGACCTGGATCAGGAATAGTGTGGCAGCAGGACCAGGGAAGGGATCCTGCCCCTGAACTGGGCACCAGTGAGGGGCACTCGAGTGCTGTGTCCAGTTCTGGCCCCTCAGTTTAGGAAGGATATTGAGGGGCTGGAGCAGCAGGAGGGGCTGAGGGAGCTGGGGGGACTCAGCCTGGAGAAAAGGAGGCTCAGGGGGGACCTTCTGGCTCTACAACCTCTGCAAAGAGGTCTTTTCCAACCCAGTTGATTCTGTGATTCTGTAAATCAGCGTTGTCAGAAACGAAGTTTCTCTTGGGAAAGATAAAAAAGGAGGGGCGAAAAAAAGGAGAAAAAATTGATCTGCGAGTAGATGGATTGAAAAAAGAAGGGAGGGAGAGAGAAAAAAATGGGGGAAATCATCAGACTGGCCACTGTGCTCCTTTAAAAATATCATATTATATTCCTTGTGTTTTTATTCACCAAAATACCAAGTTGTGACCTGTTCCTCCCAGGTGTGCACGTCCTGCTGCGAGGGCAGCATCTGCAACCTGCCCCTGCCCAAGAACTCCACAGACGCCGTGTTCACCACCCTGTCCCCCCTCAACAAGGCCCAGAGACTGTCCCCTCCTGTCCTGCTGACCACAGTGTGCCTCTGGCTGGGGCTGCTGGCCCAGCACTGGGTGACAATGGCACAGCTCTGGGTGACAATGCCACACGTGGCCCGGCCGGGCAGCTGAGCCGGGCGGGAACATCTCATGGACATCCAACCTCTCCCTGCAGAGCTGGAGCTTTGGAGTTGGCTCTGAAAGGCTGGTTTTCCTCCTGGTTTCTTGGTCATCATGAACTCCTAAGCCTGGGATCGGGATGGGTTCAAAACCTTCACGTTCCTACTGTTTTTTTTGAAGAAACTCATGGAAAATATTCCCAGAATCCAGTGTGCTCTTCACAGCATCACTTAGGTTGAGAAAGACCTCTAAGACACCAAGTCCAGCCTAACATTTGTTGATGTCTGTGTTATCTCTGTGAAGAAATGTTCTTTCCAAGTACTACACCCCTGCTCACGTCACCACTTACTCACTGGACACGGCCCTTTGTCACCTCCCCCTGCACTAATTCCGGTGTCTCCTTAACCTGCTTGAGAACCCACAGTAAATAACACACAGTCAGTGTCCCCCACACTTCCTGATCCTCTTGGAGAGGGCAGGAATTCGCAGCAAGGAAGCAGCAACCTGGAAGGGATGAGCTCAAGGGACCAGCAGGAGCTTGGAGCAACCAGTGGTGCCCAGAGGTGCTTCTCCCGAGGGGTCCAACGGCACAAAGACCCACCCCCAGGGCCCCCCACACAGAAAATCCCTGGAGTTTATAAACTGAACCAGCAAAACTCAAAACAATCCTTGTTCTGGTGTGATTAGAGGTGTGTGATCCCCAACCCTCAGGTGTGAGGAGGATGGAGAACTGGTGGATCCCCACACTGAGGGGCTGGTGGTCACCAACCACCATCTCCACGCTGTTTTAGGACAATATTTTCCTGTTTTGGCACCCAGCCCTAGAGTATGAGAGAGAAAACTGATCCTGAATAGCTCTGTTATTTTATTTAATGAAGTCTGGGCTACCCCAGCTGTGTTTTGGTGCCCTGTGTTGCTTGTTTTGCTTGGAAATCTCGGATGCAATATTTATTTTTCTATGTTGAGTAAGGTCTGAAGTGTTTAAAAGATTCTTAATGCTGATATTGCCAGGAAAAAAAATGGGTGTTTTGCAAGTCAGTGAGCCTGTAATATATAAATTATCAGAAATATATATATAAATATATAAAGAATCAACTTTGTTTGCAAAGTCAGTAATAAAAGCAGGGTGTCATGGACTTGCTTAAAGTTAAATCAAACTGTTTTATAATTAATTTTTTTACACCATTACAGTCATAAATTGTCTTTTTATGAGCTAATCTTTTGCTGCTCAGGCTCCAAGGTAACTTGAGCTCAAGTTCCAGCATGTTTTTGCCCTGAAGTGCTTTTTCTGGGGGAGTTACAGTGAAATGCAGATGAAGGAAGGCAAAGTTGGAATCCAAAGGCTGTGTCAAGGGATCCTGGAGAGTCCCAAAAAGTAGAATCTATGTGTGGGATACCTTGAATAAATGAGGAATCTGAAGATCTGGGCATGCAAGGGGTTGTCCTGGGTTTTGTGGCCTTGGGACTTGTGCTCCTGGGAGGTTTCTTGGAAGCAGAGGAGGAGGATCAGGAGCAGCACTTGCTTCCCACTGACCTTCGGGTGATTTCTCTGGGTAAGGAAAGGCTGGAAACCTCAGTGTGTTGTTATTTAAAAATGTATATATATATATATGTGTGTGTGTGTGTGTATATATATATATATACATAAAAACTTACATATACACCACTAGAAATCTTACCTTCCAACACTGTTTATTTTCAATTTTTTTAATATAAAACCCTTTTTGAGGGGGGTGCTGGTTGACCTCACACACAGCCAGACATTTTGGTGTCCTTTCAGTCCTTCTGTGACTTGCTCACAGATCTCCAATATTAAGAGGGTTGTTGCAATCTGTTGTTCTATGCAAGTTTAACCTGCCTCTGGAGATTCCCAAAAAAAATCAACCCTGCAGCCTCCTTGAAGTCTGTCCCCTCCTCTGTATTTAGGGAATCTAAGGAATTGAGGTACTGAGGGACTGGGGGAGAACGAGGCAAAGGGGGTTGTGACTTCTGACATTAATTTATATATCTATTATTATTTTAGCCTGCAAAATGGAAGAGTTTAAGATTCAGCTGAGGTGGGCTCAAGGCTTGGGCTGTATCCCAAGTCCTCACTGTCCTCAGGGCTCAGACAGGGGTTATGGTAGCTCAGCTGGGCATTTTAAGGGGATTGCATTTTAATTTTCAGGGCCTTGTAGTTTTAAATATGTGTATTTAGGGGATGGCACCTCCTGAGCTGAGCTACTGCCTTGGGCAGGGGCTCACACTTGGGTTTCTGCCTTTTCTGTGTGTTGTCCCTCAATTTATCCCAGAGTGGTTTGGGTTGGAAGGGACCTTAAAGACCATCTCATCCCACCCCCTGCCATGGGCAGAGACACCTTCCACCAGCCCAGCTTGCTCCAACCTGGCCTTGGACACTCCCAGGGATCCAGGGGCAGCCACAGCTTCTCTGGGAATTCCATTCCAGCCCCTCCTCACCCTCCCAACCAGGAATTCCTTCCCAATATCCCATCTAACCCTCTGGCACTGGGAAGCCATTCCCTGTGTCCTGTCCCTCCAGCCCTTGTCCCCAGTCCCTCTCCAGCTCTCCTGGAGCCCCTTCAGGCCCTGCAAGGGGCTCTCAGCTCTCCCTGGAGCCTTCTCTTCTCCAGGTGAACCCCCCCAGCTCTCCCAGCCTGCCTTCACACAAGACACATATTTTGCAGTTTGTTTGTTATTTAAAACCCTTCCCTGTGGTTCCTCTGGGCTAAATCTGTGGAACCACAAGGGCTGAGCTGCAGGAACAGCAGGATTTCTTGATGAAATGTTGGATTTTGGGACCACTCCCACCTCCTGCAGGGTGTGGTGCCTGCAGTCAGGCGAGGTGGGCTCGGTGCTGGCTGGGGGGCACTGCCAGGTGGGATCTCTGTGACCAGAGACATTTTTGGGTTCTCTACCCACAAATTCTGGGATGCCACTGATCCAACTTAGTTATTGGTGTTGCAGAGAGATTAAACCAAACCATTACTTCAACTCCCTCTGGAACCAGTGGAGGACAAAGTGGCATTTCAGGGGTTGATTTGTTACATGTGAAGGTGGAGGGTTAAATTCCCTCAGCTCAGGCACATGATGGATGTGGATAATACACCCCACTGAAGGTGTCCAGCTCCCAGACACGTTAAGCCAAGACTAATGCTTTGCAAAACCTGTTTTAGGAGCCACTCCTGAGCACGTCACCAGCTTTGCTCCCACCAGGACGTTGCTGCAGATGGAGAAAATCCCAGTTCTTGTGCTGTGCTGGTGCCCTGGGCCCTGCCCAGCTCAGCTGCTCCCTCCTGGTCTGAGGATTTTGGACACTGAGCTTAAAAAAAAGGAAATTAAGGTGACTGAGCCCACCCAGCACCAGCAGCTCCCTGTGCCTGCTCTGCCCACTGAGCTCTCGGGGGGGTTTTAAGCCACACAAATGCTGAGCTGCCCCATATTTATTTTTTAGGTTCTCTCTGTCTGTGCTGTTGCTTTGAAATGTCTAATTTTTTTAACTCTTGTAAATGCTGTACATTTGTATAAATAAATGTTTTAAATATGCACACGACGTGTGAGGTGGTGTCTGATCCAATTGTCCTCACCAGTCCTGATCTTCCATGAGGTGCCACCTCTTGTCCTGTATCCCTTTTCCTTTCTCTTCCTTTGTCCTACCAGCAAAAAAACCCCAAAAGTGGAGCTGTATTTAGAGAATTTTTGGAGCTCTATTTAAGGAATTTTGTTTTAACTCTCCCTGTAGTTAATGAATCTTTCCCATGGTTCCTCCCCTGTTGAGCTCCTGTGGTTATTGGGTACAAATTGTTTCATGTTGGACAATTATTATTTAATAAAATAAGTCTGAGGAGGTTCCTGTTTAATCTGTGACCCCTGGATCTTGCTTTCCCTGCTCTGGGAAAACATGTTCTCCATAATTGTGCTGTCACACTAATTTAGTCCCAGCGTGTTCTGGGGGTTTTCGTGGCTTTACTTCTCATTTCCACTCCTGAAACCAACAATTCTTGGATGGAAACAACTTCCTGGAGCTGATGGAAAGGTTTCCAAATTATTTGTGGATAATGCTAGGTCAGAGGCAGCTCACAGTGTTTCTGCACAGCCCCAATTCCCACAGCTTTAAGTGGAATAAATGCAATTTATGGTAGCACAGATAACTACAGAATATGGATTTAGAGCTCCTGAAATTCCCAATAATCCCAAAATAAGCTTCTCTGGTGGTTTGGTGTTCAGTGCACCTTTGGATTACAAACACTTTGTTATCCCTTTTTAACCTACCCAAGGCAGCCAAAGTGATGCTGAACCTCCCAATTATTAATCCCTGATATTTAAATTTTTTGAGATTCAAACCAACTTCTCCATTTTCAGCCAAAACCCAGCCCAGCCCCACAAAACCCAAGTTGAAATAACTGGCTGGGCAAAGCTTTTAAAAGCATTTTTATCTTCACCAGGTTCTAGACATGTAACATTCACACCTTTCATCGAGTGCAGCTCAACCCTACAAGCCTCAGGCTGAAAAAAATTCCAGGATATCTTCAAAAAGATGGACTTTATCCACCATAAAGGCAAACATTCCCAGCTTCCAAGGATTTCCTTGTTGGATGGTGTTGGGATATTTATCCAGAGAAAAAAAGCCAGCTAGTTTTTATCCGGGGGGTTACTGTGTAGCAGAAAACCAAATTCACTACACTTTAAATTGGGAATAGTAGAGCTTTTTTCAGTTAAATTGTCATCGAGATGCTTTTTGGAACCTATTTTTTTATCATTTTATTGCTATTCAGCTCATTGATAGTTCAGTGTTTTTAAACTCATTGATAGTTCAGTGTTTTTAAACTCATTGATATTTCAGTGGTTTTTTTAAACTCCCAGATTTCCCAGCTGGCCCCACAGGTTGGGCCTGACCACCTCCCCTGGCCCTTTCCAACACCAAATATCCCCTGAATCTGCAGCCATTTTCCAGCATCAGAGCCAGCAGAAAACCTGACCAGTAAAAAAAAGCTGGCAGGGAGAGGAATTCTTTTTAAATTACTAAATATTATTAATAATAACACCCCCATCTATTAGTTCTGTTTCTGAAAATCCTCTTTAATAGGGGATTTCTACAATTAAATATAGGGGTTTTTTCAGCCTTTCTGTGCACCCACATAAACCCTCAACTCCTGCAAGAGCCAGACACACATGGGAGTGTCCACCTGTCTATAAGTACAATATATATTTATTTTATATATTTAATGTTTAGTATTATTTATATATTTTATATATATTTATATATATATATTTATATTTTATCTATATTGTATTTATTATATTTATATATTTAATATATTTAATATATTTAATATATTTATAGGTATTTATATATTTATATATTTATTTTGCCAGAAGGAGCAGCAGGAGGGGAAGGGGCAGGAATGGGGGTTCCATCACCCCAAATCTGCAGCACAACCAGGGGGGTGTTGGTTTGTAGGGAAAACTCCTGGGCTAAAAAAATCACATGTTGCTCTGGATGTTTCCATAAATAACAGGATGGGGTTAAATACCTGCATTTCCTTTGATTCCTACTGGGATGCAGGAGTTAGTGATGTTATTACCTGTACTTTTGTCTCTGAATTCCCAACTTCCCTGATCCCTCTCTCCTCTCTCAGACCCCAAAGTACCAAGTCAGCAACAATCCTGCCCTCTCCCCTCACTCCCTCATTTCCTTTTCCACACTTCCACACAAACCTACCTCACTCCTGCACCTCTTTTCTTATCTCACTATTCATCACCAACCTCTGTTTTTCAGCATTATGAAAATATTATGTATTTCTGGACTTCAAACACACAACACTCCTCCCCTTAGAGGGGGCAAACTGCACAAAATAAAGAGAGAAATATCTCAAAAATCCTGCAAGAAACCAAAGGAAATTACTAAATAACCACCTCAGCATTTAGTTTCTACTCAAATTAATAAGTTACCTGGTTCAAGATGGTTCAAATTCGGTTTTTCCTGAGCTAAGCCTGGGGCTGAGCAGCAAAAGGAGCCCTGAGGGAAAGCCCAGCTGGCACAAAACCACCCAAGTGTTTGAGCCACACTTGAGTTCACTGATACCTTGAGGCTTTTTCTGCTGTCACCACATCAGCTCCTCAGCAAAGACTGACAAAAATGCCACCCTGGAGTCTCCTTCTTCCTCCTCCCCCCCCTGCACAGCCCCAGATAAATCCCCTCCAAAACCTGTAGAACTTTAACAGGCTCCTCATTGCCTCAAAAGCCAAATACTCTCAGGGCAATTTAAATTATTTTAGAGTAATTTAAATTATTTTCACAGCATTCAGAGCCAAAAGCATCTCACAGACACAACTTACCTGTGTGGAGGCAATAAAACTTTGATTAAGTCCTCTTGGGAGAGGCAGGATTAGTCGAGCAGCTCAATAAAAACACCCCAGCACAGGTTTGTTTTGTTTTTTTTTTTGATGGGAACAAGCTGCTCAGGGCTAGGGGGAAGAAATAATTAACTAATAATTAGTAATATGGGTAGTGATTATTGAGGGGTTTGTGCTGGTGGAGGGGATTAGAGGAGCAGCAGGAGGGGAAAGGGCAGGAATGGGGAGTCCCATCACCCCAAAGCTGCAGAACACTGAGCCCCAGTTCCCCACCTGCTGAAAACCAGTAACCACGGGGTGAGGGAGGGGTTGCTTTGGTGGTTTGCAGCTTTGCCAAGCTAAAATTTGCTTTTTTAAGAGTTTTTTTTTGTGCTTAAGTGCAGTGTTTAGGGTGGGATTGTGAGCAAACAACTCAGACTGAGAGCTCTGGTTAAGAAGTAACCGGGTTGGAGAGTTAAACCTGTGTGTTAACAGGGCAAAGCTCAGCTTTGCATCCTTAAACCAGACCTAAGTGTGTCACCCAGACCTAAGTGGTGTCACCCACCAGCTGCTGACAAAGGAAGCCCTGATTTCCCTGGAAACAAAGGGAATTATCCCAGAGCAGGATCCTCTGAAGAAGCCAACACACAAGTGATTCTTGCAGCTGGCACAGGCTGCCCTTGTTGTCCCCAGGCAGCTGCTGGGAGTGTGTGTGGATCTGGGCATGTAGCTCCTGGATTTAGGGAGAAGTCCCCCCTAAACCAGTGCCAGGCTGCACGAAATTTAGGGATTAACTGGAATTAAATTAGCCCCGAGGAAAGGGAATAATTTATTTTGTTTATTTTATTCTGTTTCAAATAAACTGCGGGGATTTTCCTCTGTATTAATGTTATTTATAATTAGATCTCTCTCTGCTGGAAATTCTGACTTGGTGCTGTGGCACAGCAATTGCATAAAGGAGATATTTTTTGGACCAAAAATATAGAATCCCAGGATGGTTTGGGCTGGAAGAGATCTTAAAGCTCATCTTATTCCACCAGGGACATCTTCCATTAGCCCAGGCTGCCCCAAGCCCCCTCCAGCCTGGCCTTGGACACTTCCAGGGATGGGGCAGCCACAGCTTCTGTGGGCCAGAATTCCATGGATATTCCAATGGATACAGTTCATTCTCCTTCCTCAGTCCCAGCTCAAGAGTAAGGGGAGGAATTAATTTAACAGCCACAGGCCCATGGGCAGCTTTTAAGTGGCAGCACAGTGGATTTGTCACCTCTTTTCTAAAGTACACAAATTCAGAAATATGTTTATATTTATATATATGCTGTGTACCTTGCAACACAACAATAACCTCCTTATCTGCATCCATCAGCCATTTTATTCCATGCAGCCATGAAAATCAATTCCACACAGGTCTGAAGCAGCAGCTTTCAGATTTCCCTCAGGAAAACTGCAGGGAGAGCTGCTCTCCAGAGCTGCAGCAGAGGGAAAACCAAGCAGAGCAAAGTGTGCTCTGATATCTTGGATCACACAAATCACTCCAGGAATAAAAATGGTGCTGCCACTCCATAATTATTTCCAATTATTTGAGCAACAGCATCACTTCCAAATTGATGTTTTCCCATATATATCCAGATTTGTGCAGTTAGTTGAGCCTGACTGGGCAGCTTTTAGAGCAAGACCAGGTTTGAGGGTTATTCCTGTGACAAATAACTCCCATCTCGCAGCCTCTCCATTCTGGGTCAGCTCCTGGAGCTGTCTAAAGTTACACCTGGCTTTCCTGGGCTTTAGGAACTGCAGGATCCCTTCAGCTGGGGCTGCCTCTGGATCCCTGGAAGTGTCCAAGGCCAGGCTGGACAGGGCTTGGAGCAACCTGGGGTAGTGAAAGGTGTCCCTGTCCATGGCACAGGGTTGGGATTAAATGGACTTTAAGGTCCCTTCCAACCCAAACCATCCAAGCTGGGATTCCATATTTTTGGTCCAAAAATATCTCCTTTATGCAATTGCAGTTGCATAAAGAATAGTCAGAATTTCCAGTAGAAAATTATAAATAACATTAATATAGAGAAAAAATTCCTGCGGTTTCTTTGAACTAGAAGAAAATAAATATAATAAACTATTCCCTTTCCCCAGGGCTAATTTAATTCTTATTAAAGGGTTGATGGACTGAAGTTTTGAGCCTGCCACTAAAACTTTTGGCCAGAGAACTTCATCAGCCATCCAGACCTCCCCCTGATTTTTGCTGCCACCGGAGCAAGCCAAGCTCCCAGAGCATGTTCCTGTGACAAATAACTCCCATCCCGTGGCCTCTCCGTTCTGGATCAGCTCCTGGAGCTGTCTAAAGTTACACCTGGCTTTCCTGGGCTTTAGGAACTGCAGGATCCCTTGTTGAATGACACCTCAATTAGCAGGAAAGGGCAAGGAGCCCCCAGCCAAGATGGCAGGCACAGCAAAGGGCCCCTCTCCCCTCTTTGACCCTCGGGATTTTTTTTTCCAGCCAGGTGGCTGCCAGTGGAAGGGGAATATTGTTCTTTGCTGTTTATGCTCTTAGAAATGGGAGCTGCTCCATGACCCAGCTTCTTTTTTCCTGTTCTTAATAAAAAGAGGCTTTAAAAGGAGCAGGCACATGAGGCAGGGCAGTTATTTCGCTCTTGTATTTCAGCTCCTCATCACTAACGGGGTTTTTACTCCCTCCACGTGTACAGTGTTAATTTTTTAACTCCAAAGCCCAGTTTCTTTGCTCTCTCCCAAGTTAAGCAGGGCTGAATACAAAGCTGAGCTGTAAATCCTGCACTGTGGCACGAGGATCTCATGAATAAAGCAACGAGTTCCCTGAACACAAGTGGCTGAGCAGAGGATTTGGAAAGGATTCCTCCATCCCAACCTGGAAAATCCCCACCTGGTGTTGATGAGGTAACAAACAGCTCTGACAACGAGCTCTTACACTGAACATTTAACTTGCCAGTTCCTGAGAACACACATTTTTGGGGCTTCTACCTCAACATTTCTACTGAAGTCTGATTAAAAATGATCACCAAGTCTGAACCTGAGGAGTGTCCACGTGGAAAGATCCCAATCACTGAAGACCTGAAGATAATTAGGCAGGAAAATGTGACCTTACCTTTCTTCCCCCTAAAAAGGAATTCATTTTGTAACTCTGAAAGTTGTTCTGGCTTTTATTATCAGAAGTTCAGTTACACTGCATTCAAGGACTTTTATTTCCTAGTATATTAATATAGTTAATTAACACACAGTTTGGGCTCTTCTGATGGGAGGGGAATAGAACTGGAATAGCTCTTTTGGGAATTAATATGTAGGAGAAAGTTCTGTTTAGAAAAATATCAGGAAATCATCCCTCCCTTCAAATCCTGGCATGAAACATTAATATCAGTTATCATTAATAACTCTCATTATTTCCAGTGAGGTTTCTGACAAGGAAAAATCCTTTACAGGACAAAACTTGACATGAATTTAAAAATGAGCATCCCAAGCTGAACTGGAATAACCTGACAGCTCCCACCCTTTCTAAAACACAGGAAGTACAGGGAAAGGTAACATCAAGTTGTCAGGATATTTACAATATATATGAACTCTTTCACAACTTGATTTTTCTAATATTTACCCAACAAAGTTCTCCCCGAGTCCAGCAAGACACCACCCCTCTTTTATCCCATGAGCTCGTTTGTGCTCACCAAAATTAAGTGTATTTTGCAAACAGACAAGACACGCTGCAGCTTCTCAAGCTTTTTTAATCCTCTTGACGAGATTGAGGAAATCAAACAGCAATAAAAGACTTTGAAGTGACAGTTTTCTTGGACAGCAGAGCAGAGGGCAAGAACTGGGGCTCTGGAAATACAGCACAAATTCCAGGACAAAGGGAAAAACAAATCCTGCCCCAGCAGCCACACACTTAAACCTTGGCATGTGGGCAGAGTAGAGCCAGTGAAGGGAAGGTGAGTAGGATAACCTTGGAATTGCTGGCTTTGGGAGGGAATTCAGGGTGGACAGCACTCACTTCTCCAGGGGAAAGGCTTCCTCACTTCCACCTCCCTGATCCAGCAAAGTTCCCAAGGACAGGGACAGGCACTTGGGAAAGGATCTGGTTCTAAAGCCATTAAAGCCAAGAAAAGGACTTTGGTGGAAACTGGCTGAGACCTGAGTAGGGAACAGAAGAACTACACACACCTAGGACAAGGTTTAAATCCATGGTGTTGGTGAACACTGGGAAAAGACAGAAGGATAAAATCCCAGGCTACCTGACAGGAAGCTGAAACTCTTGGATCCTCATCCTGGGCAGTCATTATCCTCGAAATTCAACTTTCTGATGGAGTCAAGACTGAAGGATTCCCATTGTTAGATGACTGCAGGGTTGTCATAAAGAATGGCCCCAAAACTGTGATGAGATTAAAATCTACTTTATTCCTTCATCTATGGAGCCAAATTTCAAGGCATTGAAATTCCAGGTATTCCAGGTGCCTTGAAATGTCTTCCCTGTTCTTCCCCCAGCACCTTCAACTGATCTGATTGTTTTTGTGATCCCTGAAGAGCCTGAACTGATTTACTGAAACCCTCCTTTTATAATTGCACTAATTGATCATAATTGCTCTTTGCACAGGCATTTCAAAATTCCAGAGACAAGTCTAAATTGCATCAGAGGCCAGGAAAACAATGATGATATCCAGGCATTGCTCTATTATCTTTTTTTTTCCCCCCTGTATTTAATGACCTAAGTAAGTTACAAAAGCAACTTTAAATTACCTTTATATATATAAACTAATTAAATATATTTAGCTAACACTGAGAAAATAAATCCCAAGCACCATGAAGACAAAAAAAACAAGAAGAGATGACTGATTTTAGAGTAATTTAAGACTTTTTATGGAGTCTGTGGATGTAGCAGTTGAGTGAACACTTCCTTACTGAAGCATTACTTGTATTTAGAGCTTATCTCAATATTCTCATTTTAAAACACTGAGTGATTAGTCCAGCATTAACTTCTGTAGTTTTTATAAAATTCTATATTTTGGGAGCACAATTTTATTGCTTATTCCACTTTTTTTTTCGCCACTTAGTCATTTCAGTAAGTGGCAGAATTCCTAGAAATTTCAGTGGCATCAGGATTTTTATTACTAAGCAGATTTGTTGGACACTGAAAGACAAAATGGTTGAGAAGTGTGGCTTGTGTGATAAAATTATAAAAGTTAGCTATGTCCTTTTATATTTAAACTCATTTAAGATGAAGGAAACTCACAGCTGGAAACTCGTGTGGCACAAAAGGATCTGTTTGGATGCTGCCAATTCATCTTTCTAAGTCACATGTGGTGACCTATTACTTTTATTACTTATTCTACTTTATTTTTTACCAGCTACTCATTTCAGTAAGTGGCAGAATTCCTAGAAATTTCAGTGGCATCCAGATTTTTATTACTAAGCAGATTTGTTGGACACTGAAAGACAAGGTGGTTGAGAGGTGTGCCTTGTATGATATTAAAAAATAAAATGCAAGTAACTATGTTTAAACTCAGTCAGGGTGAAAACAGCTGCAAACTCCTGTGCCACACAAAGATCTGTTTGGATGCTGCCAATTCATCTTTCTAAGTCACATGTGGTGACTTATTACTTCTATTACTTATTCCACTTTTTTTTGCCACTTACTGAAATGATTAAGTGGCAGAACTCCTAGAAATTTAGCAGATTTGTTGGACACTGAAAGACAAAATGGTTGAGAAGTGTGGCTTGTGTGATAAAATTAAAAAAGGAAATGCAGATAACTGTGTACTTGTATATTTAAACTCATTTAAGATGAAGGAAACTCACAGCTTGAAATCTGTGTGGCACAAAAGGATCTGTCTGGATGCTGCCAATTCATCTTTCCAAGTCACATGTGGTGAACACAAAGACTGAAAATAAATAACAGCTACTTTATTACCTAAGAACACTTGAAAATGTGGCATTTCCTCGGAGAGGATCATCAAGTCAAAGGGTGCAAAGGGGCTTTAATTGCCACTGAGTTTCCTCATGATGGGGCTGTCGGGCTCGGCGTTGGTGAAGATGCTCCCCACCAGCACGTGGGTGCCCCAGAGGTTGTGCCGGATGACTTTGCAGCAGCCGAGGTCGTCCACGGAAAACCCCAAGTGCCGGTAACGCTCGTCCGTCTCGAACAGGGTGTTGTTGGTGTAAGGCCCGAAAAACTGCGAGAGAACAGAAGGTTTCGGGTCAGAAGGGAAAAAGAACTTAAAAAAAAAAAGAGAATTTTTCGCCTCAGAACGGAAAAAAGGAGAATTTTTCGCCTCAGAACGGAAAAAAGGAGAATTTTTTCTCAGAACGGAAAAAAGGAGAATTTTTCGCCTCAGAACTAAAAAAAAGGAGAATTTTTCGCCTCAGAACGGAAAAAAGGAGAATTTTTCGCCTCAGAACGGAAAAAAGGAGAATTTTTCGCCTCAGAACGGAAAAAAGGAGAATTTTTGGCCTCAGAACTAAAAAAAAGGAGAATTTTTCGCCTCAGAACTAAAAAAAAGGAGAATTTTTCGCCTCAGAACTAAAAAAAAGGAGAATTTTTCGCCTCAGGACAGAAAAGAGGAGAATTTTTCGCCTCAGAACTGAAAAGAGGAGAATTTTTCGCCTCAGAACTGAAAAGAGGAGAATTTTTCGCCTCAGAACTGAAAAGAGGAGAATTTTTCGCCTCAGAACGGAAAAAAGGAGAATTTTTTCTCAGAACTAAAAAGGAGAATTTTTCACGTCAGAACTAAAAAGGAGAATTTTTTCATCAGAACTGAAAAAATTTTTCACCTCAGAAGCGAAAAAAGGAGAATTCTTCTCATCAGAAGTGAAAAGAGGAGAATTTTTCACCTCAGAACTGAAAAAAGGTGAATTTTTCAGCTCAGAACTAAAAAGAGGAGAATTTTTCACCTCAGAACTGTAAAAAGATTTTTTCACGTCAGAATTGAAACAAAGGAGAATTTTTCACGTCAGAACTATAAAAAAAAGAGAATTTCTCACATCAGAACTGAAAAAAAGAGATTTTTTCATGTCAGAACTGTAAAAAAAAAAAGAATTTTTCACGTCACAGGAGAATTTTTCAAGTCAGAACTTCCCCTTTTTAAACAAAACCTAAGCCTAGAAATAAGTTACATCTGTTGGAGGAAATTTTATATATATTTTTACTTAAAATCTAAAGGAGAGATTAAGCAGAGCAGCTCTGGGTGTACTGGTAGCACATTTTAAAGGTTTTCCTTGGGCACTGAAGTGCATTTTAAGTCTCATCAATCACACCCAGAAAAACCTCACAGGCTTTGGAAAGCTTCTGATACTTCTGTAGGGATTAAGGACAGAACCCCTCTGTGAAACAGCAAAAATAAGACCTGTGCTAAGAATACAACTCTCTGTGAAACAGCAAAAAAAGCAGAAATGTACCTTTTCAATGCTCCCCCTGCAAAAAAAGTTGCTTTGAAGAGCAAAAATTGGCTTGAATTGGAACTGGAAACGGGTATCTCAGTTTTTTACCTCAGGAGGAAGCTTCTGACTCGTCCTGATGTTACCACTGAACTGGATTCTGAAAACAGAATCTTACTTTCATCAATCCCTGACTATTCTTTAAATGCACGGAATTTCTGGGAAGTTTTTAAGCCCTACACGCCCCTTAACTGCCTGTTCAGCTTATAAACATCCCCTATTAAACCTGTTTGCAAACAGGGATGTTTGTAAGGTGAACAGACACATTAAATATTAATAACAGACGCATTTTGTAGTGTTTTTAAATAAAACCCCACTAAACTGAGCTTTGCTATATGGATTTAATAGTTCTCAGACAAAACCACACAGATTTCTTGCTTTGATAGAAGTTTTCTTAACTCTCTCTCTTGTAAATTTTAAGATTCTTTTTCATAAATGTCTTGGTAACAAACTCAGCTCCTCCAGAGAGCTGCGTGATCTCACAATCAATGCACACACTGTTTGATAGGAACAATTATTCATTTTTTTCTGCTGCAAAGAGGCTTTTTAAACCCTCCATCCACACAACCAGGTGTCAGGGTTACCAAGTTACCCTGGCAGGGCACAACCAGCTTCTTGTGCAGTGAGCAAAAGCTTTTTTTTTTTTAATGGGCATAAAAACTCCAGCTCTCTAAAATCCAACTTCATTTCCTCAAAGTGCCACCTGCAACGAGAGCTGACACCCTTTGGGAATGGCTCAGGGTTACTATCTTGATTTATTAAAGGAATTATCCTTTTGGACCACTCGAAAAAGTTGGATTTAACCCATGCAGAAGACAAATTTCACACTTACTGCCAGTCCTGAGGATGGATCAATGAAATCAGCCCAGTAGCCCTCAGAAGAAATTGCATAGCAAATTTCCTTGGCACCATTAATGAACTGAAAGGGGGAAAAAATGGGAAAGAAGGATATCAAATGAGATTTCTGTTACACATATAAAACAAGAAATATTTCTAACTTTATTCTACGTATTTATATCTATTCTAAATAAATCCTTTATTTACTTTCACTTCTAAGAATTGTTCTTCACAATTATGGCCCTCAGCAGCTCAAGGTTTCAATTTTATTGAATTTTATTTCAATATTATAGTTACTCAACTTCTTAAGGGTCCAAAATAAGGGAATTTTACCCTTTCCAGTAAATTGTGTATTTTGAGGTTTGATGGTTCTGGTGATTCTTAAGGATCCAAAATAAGGGAGTTTTACCCTTTCCAGTAAATTCTTTTTTATTTTGAGGTTTGATGGCTCTGGTGATTAACTGTCTCAACTGTAAGTCACCAATAAAATCAAACCACCTGAAAACAGCATTTTAGACATTAAACTTCTGACCCAGGACATCTTTTGGTGTTGTAACAACCCCTCAGCAGCCACTTAATAAACATTTGAGAGGCACCACGGTAAAAATTTAGATTTGGCTGTACATGACCCTCATTTCTTTAGCACAGGCCACTCATATTAAATATTTTTAAGGTTGAATCTCCCAAGAAAACATCCCAATTCCCTGTGAATTTTGCTGTTTGTAACCTCTGGGTTGGGAGGTTACAACCAACATCCTCACACCCCAGCAGTGACTGGATTAGACCTGACAGGGAGGTGCACAAGGAAGAAAGATGCCAATTAACATATAATTAGACCAGATTACAAAGCCAAAGACCAACAGACCAGAAATAATTCAAAGAGAAGAACACACTGAAATGAAGGGAATTTTAATTTGTGTGTAATCTTTGTGTTGATCCTTCAGATTGTTGCTTCCTTTTTTTCTTCCACTGCTTTAGAGAGGCCACACTTGCATTTATAGGATGGGAAGGACGTTGCCAGATTAATTATAAATATAAATTTAACACAGATAAAAATCCCACAGGGTTATTTTTTGCTAGATTTGGAAGAATTATGACAAGTAATAGATAGAAATGTTTTATTTTGAGGTGCTAAGGGAGAATGGCAGCAGTGAACAGCGACACTTGCTGGGGGAAATACAAAATTCCTGAAAAGTGGGAAATAAAGTGATTTTCAGAGCCCTCTAGTGGCAACAGAACAAGACAAAGTTCATGAGGATGGTTAAGATGAAATAAATATAAATGTAACAGGTTAAAAGAATTAACAGTGTCCATTATCAGAATGGAAAAACCAGAAACACCAGAGCAATTGGTGGTTTTTTACACCTTTTACCACTGAGGCCACAGACTGTACTGGGATCTTAATTAAATCACAGGAAAGCCAAGATAGCAGTGAAACCCTACAAAATATACTGTACTGAAGCTGAACTGAGGGGAGAAAATAGTTGCTGCCCTTTACCTGGATCAGGACAACACCTTTATTAATCTTTGTGGCATTTCAGCCTATTTTTGACTCACCCCACTATAATGAATTTAATAATTCTAAGGAGAAGTTTCACAGAAAATAGTCAAAGAGCTCTAAACCTGCAAAAAATTATCAACCATTTTAACAGCAAGAGAATACAGGAATAGCCCAAAAATGCCTTAAAAATATAATATATTACTAGCAGAGCTGGAAATGAACCAAAATACACAGGTAGGTCATAAAAGATTCATTTCCAAACCAAAAGAAGCCCCTGCTGGTGTCAGGCACTCACATTTTCTAAGAGCATCTCTCTCTCATCCTCCACTTCTTGGCTCCACACAGTCATGTCATTTTTGGTCTTCTGGGTGACAGTTAACACGGTCAGGCGGTTGGGACTCACCTCTGGGAACATGGATTCAAAGTCTGCAGGAAGAGAAACCATCAGGTTATATTTTAATCCTACATTTTCCTCGTGTTTCCTTCTGTTTGAGACAAATCAGGGACCAATTCCAGCCACATTTCAGCCTCTTCACTTCTTAAATAGGGTTTTATTCCAATTTCATTTCAATGCTTTCCTTCTTGAACTGGTTAAAGATACAAACCTGATGCTGTCAGAAGTTTCATGATTTCCATTTGCCATTTTCATATTGCCAAAACATTTGAGAACTGGTTTGGGGATAGTGGATTAGCTCCAGAATCTACCTGACACTAAAGCTGAAAGTTACTCCCTGCCCCAGCTGATCTGAAATATAAATGTGAATTTTATATGAAATACTAAATATTGTCAACAGCAAAGGTTTGGGTCTTATTATATAGTATGTTTTTGGCAAAATATTAAGGCATCAATTACAAAGTATTTACTTAACTATTAAAAAAAATTACAGAAACAAAAATATTTTTAAGATTTTTTTTTAAAAAAAATATCCATAGAAATAAAAGTATTTTTTAAATATTTGGAAAAAGCTGTGATTTCTTGGTTACAAATTGAAGTGAAACCCCACCTTTTCGTAGGAGCTCAGGACAAGCTTGGACTGCACATTCCACCTTGGCATTTTCAAAGTAGGTTTCAGCATTATTTATTTGCTGCTTCTGGGGAGCACCAGCACCCTGAAAAAAAAAAGGAGAATTGCAGCTTTCTCAGTTAATATGATCACAGGAATAACTTTGTAGACTTAAATACCCAGATACACTCGAGCAATTTCACACAAAGATGATCTGCACTCAGATTTAACATTTTTTAAACATTAAAAGTGGAATTGATATTGGTTTTACTTAAACCTACATAGAAATTTTATATTTTTTATATTTTAGTGTTCTCCCTAATCAGAAACAGTACAGAAATTTTTATTAATAATATTAACTAGAGGTACCAGCACTAAATATTTGTGGGAATTTTGTGATCAGGCTGCAAATTATCAAGTTTTTGCTGTTCATGATGTGTGTGATTCAGTGCCAGCTCTGCCAGCACCACAATCCAGATTCCTTGGGAAATGCTGATTTTCCTGTGAGAATTCCATGGCTCTCACAACTAAACACTGTCCAAATTACACAAATCCACATCCACTAAATGAAATACTAAAGGAATGACCAATTCTATTTATTAAATGGTGGCAAGACTTGGTAAACAGCAAGTTTTAAAAGTGATTTTTTGCCACATCCACGTAATTAAGTCACTTCTAAAATACTACTTCCAACAGCAGTGAAATATTTCTTTCTACCTGAAGTTTTGAAACTGAAGCCCTCTCATATTCATACAATTAAGTCACATCAAAAACACTATTTCAAAACTCATCCCGAAATATTTTCAGCTGAACATTCTGAAACTGAAGTTCTCCCAAATCCACAGAATTAAATCACTCAAAATGCTATTTCAAAACACAGCCTTTTTACTGAAGTTTTTTTTACTAAAAGTTCTGAAATTGAAGTTCTCCCACATTCACAGAATTAAGTCACATCTAAAATGCTATTTCAAATAGCAATGAAATATTTCTTTCTACCTAAAGTTTTGAAACTGAAGCTCTCCCATATCCACAGAATTAAGTCACATCAAAAATGCTATTTCAAAACACACCCTGAAGTGGTTTTTTTTCAACTAAAAGTTCTGAAACTGAAGTTCTCCCATATCCACAGAATCACTCAAAATGCTATTTCAAAACACAGCCTGAATCATTTCTTTTTACTAAAAGTTCTCCCTTACCTACATCATTAAGTCACTTCTAAAGTATTATTTCAAATAGCAATGAAATATTTCCACTAAAATTTTTCAAACTGAAGCTCTCCCATATCCACAGAATTAAGTCACTCAAAATGCTATTTCAAAACACACCCTGAAGTATTTTTTTTCAACTAAAAGTTCTGAAACTGAAGCTCTTCCATATCTACAGAATTAAGTCACATCTAAAATACTATTTCAAAACACACCCTGAAATATTTCTTTCTACTAAGATATTTTTCAACAGGATATTTTTCAACTGAACGTTCTGAAACTGAAGTTCTCCCATACCCACAGAATTAAATCACTCAAAATGCTGTTTCAAAACACAGCCTGAACTATTTCTTTTTACTAAAAGTTCTGAAACTGAAGCTCTCCCATATCCACAGAATTAAGTCACATCTAAAATACTATTTTCAAAACACACCCTGAAATATTTCTTTCTACTAAGATATTTTTCAACAGCCTGAACTATTTCTTTTTACTAAAAGTTCTGAAACTGAAGTTCTCCCATATTCCCAGAATTAAGTCACATCAAAAATGCTATTTCAAATAGCAATGAAATATTTCCACTAAAATTTTTGGAACTGAAGCCCTCCCATATCCATAGAATTAAATCACTCAAAATGCTATTTCAAAACACAGCCTCAAATGTTTCTACCTCAACTTTTGAAACTGAAGTTCTCCCATATCCACAGAATTAAGTCACATCAAAAATGCTATTTCAAAACACACTCTGAAATACTTCTTTCTCCTAAAAGACAAGACTTGATACTGGTCCTGTGTAATCTCTTGCTCAATCCAGCTGGAGCTCATTTTACAAAACCAGCCAGAAAATCCACAATATCGTTTTTCAGGAGGGAGGAGAGATGAGTTCTGTTCCTCTGAGACAACACAGGAGTCTGTTCTTACCTGGAACTCATTGATGTATTGTGCCATTACAAATTCATGCCTTTCACTTGCTGAAGGTTCTGCTAAAATGTCAGGGAGGCTCTTGGAAACTTGGTTTTTCCTCTGGGAATCAGTGCCATTGAGGTGACAGTCAAAGCCAATGTTTCCAGGCAGCTGGAATCTCTGATCCTGAGGTCCAAAGGGACCCATCACTTCATCTGGCCACACAGTCCTGGGACCTGCAGGAGCCAAGGTCTTGTTTTAGTCACCACACCCAAAAAAAAATGGGAAAAACCAAATGAAACCCCCTCTCCCACGCAAATATTTGCTCACCAAGTAACCCCAAGGCACAAAATCAGGGCCCTGCCATAAAAACCACACTCAGAAATGTCTCTGGAGTGCAAAGTTCTGACAGCACACGGGTTCAAAGGAAAGGAATTTGCTTTTTCTTACATAAATCAGGAGGTGCAGCAGCCACATGAGGCTCATCTGAGCCAGAGGAACCTGCTGTGGAAAAAGCCTTGGGATTTACAACTCTTTTGACTAAGGAATAAAACCCTGGGAGGTAGGTGACCAATCTTGCTCTGTTACAGAGCACCTGAGAAGACAAAAAAACAAAAGGACAATTACAAACTGCTCCCCAAAACCTCAGAGTTTAACACAGCCCCGTGGGTCACAAAGAAATCCCTGCTCCATAATTCAATTACAACTTTAATGATGATCAACTTTAGCATCACATTTTAGAAGTACTGGATTGTTATTTTTATATTTTACTGGTTTATTTTCAAAATATTTAAATATTTTACTGTTTATTTTCAAAATCAAAACACTCCTCCTATGAGGAAAAAGCCCTGAAAACTTGAAATAGCACCAGTGAAACCCCACAACTTAAAGTAAATTATGGATGGGGATTCTTTCCATGATTATTTCCATGCATGTCACTGTTTCCAGGATTATCACAATTCCAGCATGAGGGTGATTACCAGAAAGACTTAGAAATATTGTTAATTATTGTTAATTTTCAACAATAGCTCGTTGTTCATTCTCAGAATTAACTTTGAAGCCTCATGACAATATTTTAAGGAGTAACACAAGCAACTGTTATTGGGTTTTTGTGGTTGTTTTGGGTTTTTTTAAGAAGAAATACCCAGGTGGTGCCATTAAACAGAGAATCCTGACCTATTTTTTATGCTTTAGAAAAACACTGACAACTTTCAAGCTGCATTGACACACTCAGAACAGAAAAATAACCAATTAAACACTCCAGATGGAGAGTTAGGAGTGTAATTTTAAAAAATGAAGATTAAACTCCCCAGCACAAAACTGCTGCTATTTGACAAAACTGCACCAATTTTGCAGGTATTACTGGAAAATACAAATATCACCTACCAGAGGGTGTGGTTTTTTGTAAAATTCTATTTTCCAGGTGAGGGAGAGAAATTGTTTTCAGAAAATGACACAAAGGGATTTTCCTTAAGTGCTGCAGCTTTGATGCCATAAATATTTATGCACCTGTTTACCACTAAATATTTCTGCAGCCAGGTTACTTCAAAAGGAGGGAGTAAATGCTGCTATTTGTATGTTTAATATAAAAACTGTATTTAAAGTATCAGCACTTAAGGCAACAAAAGCACCAATTTCTCCCACACCACCTCTGTGTAAATATAAAATAAGTCTTGCCAATATCATAAAGACTCAAATGCTTAGAGAAGCATTTAATTTATGATTTAAATCAATTATTTAAAGCCTTAAGCTGTTTAGTTATAACAGAGGTTTAAAAGGCTCCTTTAGCACAACAAAAATCTGATGCCACTTAAGTTCTTTTTTTTCCTGTTATATAAAACGACTACTGAAATTAATTTCTGCATAATGATTGTATTATAAACAGATGTAAACAATTCCAGCTGACACGTAATTACAAGAGAAGAGCTTTTTTTTGCCTTATAATCAGGCTCACTTAACATGGAGATGTCATTAATTACAGCTATGACTGAGCTCACTCATGCAAATATTGACACACCTGGCATTACACAAGCGAGAAAACACCGCTGAAATCAATGAATTATTCATGGCTCCATGGCAAGAATAAATCAATAAAGGGGGTTTTATTCTCCAGCCTGAGAGGAGCCTGGCGAACCTGAGCCCTGCAGGATCACAGAACTGCACCCGAGCTCGGGATGCTACAACAAGCACAAAACAAACTGTGCTTAATCTTAGATCAACCCTGGGATATTTTAGGTAAAAGAGGGAAAGTTTAGATGGGATATTGGGAAGGAATTCCTGGCTGGGAGGGTGCTG